CAATAATAGCAAGGAGAAAAAAGTGTTGTGCTCAAGAACACATCCCTGGGGGACACCTTCAGCTTGGACAAAGTCAGGGATGAGAGCACATTATTTAACCCGAACACGGAAATGCTGTCAGTGAAACATGTTCTTAAGGAAGGATGGTAGATTGCCTCGAACAGCCTATAGGAGTGGGCTTGGGCTAAAATATTATACCTCTAGTTGTGCATATGCCTTCTCAGGTCAAAAAATTGGCAATAACTGAGTTGTTATTCGCAAAGGCTATTCGAACATTACGATCCAAGCGCAGTAAGGGGTCTATGGTAGAACGTCCCTTACGAAAAGCCATATTGACTAGTGGAGAGACTGTTGTGTGGTCTCTAAAATACCTCACTAAAAGTCTATTTACTAGACGTTTCCATTACTTTGAAAACTGCACTGGCTAAGAAGCAATGGGACGATAGTGAGGAGTTCCTTGTCCCGTAGTGCCTGGTTTGCGGAAAGGGAGGGGTGGAACAATGGCGGATTTCCCACAGCTGTGGAAGGAATCCTTGTGACCAAAAATAAGATTGTAAAGGCGTAATAGGACTGCAAGGCTGCTGAGTAAATGTCTGTAGCATTACGAATATGAATGTCGTCGGGCCCAGCTGCCGATGATCGACAAGCTGAGGTGTTGCCCTCCAGTTCTTGAAGTGTAAAAAGGCACATTATACTGTTCTTCTCTGAGAGAAGAAAAGTCAAGGGCACCACTGCTAACTCTCTGGCAGACTTTGAGGAAGAAATGAGGGGCATAGATGGAAGTCCCTGAGAAATACGACCAGTATGATTGCCAATTTCATTGGCAAATCTAGTGGGTTTGCTATATCAACACCGGCAACCGCAGAAAGGACGCGGGGTCAGGAAGGAATATTTTACCACTCAGTTTTCGTCTTTTTTCCTAGACTGCACTCAGAGGAAAGCAGAGGTGATGGTGGAGACAATCTCGCCCAGCAAGTGCGTTTAGGTCACGGATGGACACGGCGAGCGATCGAACGCTTCTGTTTAAAATTCAAGGAGTCGCTCTATGGTACTATTGTACCTGTTACCTGCCCCATGCAGCGCCTTTCAAAGTACTGCACGAGCACCAAGCAGTGAGACCACCCCCAAAGGCACGCATTACTGAGAAGAATGCCTGGCCCGAAGTTTGGGGTATAGAATGAGAAGCTGCGGTGAAAACGCGAGGACGAGAAGAGGTGTAAAAGCTATCGATGGAGGACGAAGAAGGAACCTCTTTATAAAACAGTCAGGGTGAGTAAAGGTTCCAATTTGCCCGATTTTAATTGCAGCGTGGGGTGCGAAGAGGTGGCGAATTGAAGGGGAAGTAAGAATGATTGGGAAATGATCACTGTCAGTAACGTCCGGGGAGAACAGACCAAGTAAAGTCCAAGCGGCGGAGGAAGAGAGCAAACTGAAGAGTCGATGCTAAAGAGAGAGTATGAGTCCGAGGATCAAAAATGTGTGTGGTACCTGTATATTTAAAACTGGAGGGGGGGTGTGTCAAGAAAAGCACTCTAACTGAATTTCCACGGGAATTCACAGTGAGACCCTCCCCAGAGGAAATGGGTGGGCATTAAACATCACCAAAGTAACAGAAGGTGGCGGTAATGACGAATCAAGGAAGGCAAAATCCGAATAGATAATGAACCGAGAAGGAGAGATAATAATGAAACAGAGCGTATACCACCTTGAGAGTGGTACGGGCTGCAGTGTATGCAGCGAAGTTATGAATAAATAGCTGATGGTACGGAATATCATGTGCGGTGAAGAAGGGCACTTTCAATTAAAGGTCCCATCCAGGAAAAGGAATCTGAAGAATACAATAAAATTATAGCCTGAGATGTGAGGAAATAACAGCAGAGTGTAATTTTGGTTCCTGTAAGCAAACACCAACAGGGGCAACTGGGAGGTAACATCTGAAAGCTCACCCCGATTACCCCTGAATGCCGCGTTATATTCCACTGTAAAAAGGGCATGATTGGCAATGATAAAAGATACTTGAAATCCGCATGTAGGGTTCCTACGGACTAGAAGGGTTTAGAAAAGTCCACATTCGGACGGCCAGTGGAATGTTCAAAGAGCGAAAGGAAGTAACGGTGCGCTTGTGAAGAAAGGAGTTAGCGCAGATGGAGCAGAGGTGAAGAGAAAGAGCGGAAGGTGGATCAGTGTCCATTGATGGTTTTGGGTCTCTGCAATATATCAGAGATTGCTTCAAGTGTTTCCGGGACTTCAGAGATGTCGTATGGGTGAACAATATTGGGAATGTAGGGGGTGGATGAGTAAAGATTGGAACTGTATTGGACCTGTACCAAGGTAGTTAGGGAAAGGGGGCGAAAGGTGGAGGGAAATGGAGAAGCGTGGAGGGGACGAACAGAGACAGGAACCTGGGAGGTGGCAGAAGAGGAAGAAACTTGGGAGGGAACAGGGGAGGAAGGTACATTACGTAGGAGGAGGGTGAACCTCTCGCACTTGTTAACTGGAGACAGTGAGAGGGGAAAGAACTAGGGACTGAGACAGGGGAGGGTAAAATATGAGGAGGTGGAGAATGGGTAGAGGTGTTACGGACCTTTTTTGACTTTGAGATGTAGGGGACGATCTAGGGAGAGGTAGTCGTACGAAGGTCTCGTCGATACTTGATGGCTTGTAAGAGAGAACTCGAAGAAGCGAGATTAGACTGATGGCAGTTTGAAGTAGGGACGTCTCGAGCCGAGGTAGGGACAGCAAAAGGATTGATACAGGAGTGATTATGGGAGAGGTAACCACAGAAGGTGGGTGTAGAAGATGGGGATACCAGAAGTCGGCGGGGGACGTTTTGTGAAACACGGGAATAGAACACGTGGGAGTATCCCTTGGAGGCGGAGATGAGAAACTGCGATGGCATAAGGGGGAGGACCTTCTGTCTCTTTGACGGTAAAACGGATTTCCCGCTCGTCTTAAATAGACCTGACAACGGCGAGAGTTCGAAGGGTGAGCTCATGACAGTTAAGGCAAGAGGGGAGATCGAATTCAAGGACGTTTAGAATGGTCATCGGCACCACCAGACTGGGCATTGGCGATAGATCTGCAATATTTCGCTGGATGGCCAAATCGCAGCAATTTCTTACACTGTTGTGGTGTAGGGATCACCTTTCGAATTGTAAACCGCCATGTCCTGATTATATAAACGGAGGATGGGAGTTCTCGGCTGTCAAAAGTTAAAAGAGCCACATTGCTAGGGTATCGTTCTCCCGCCACGGGCAGGAAGAAGAACGTAAGTGTCTACCTTGAGGGATTGGAGATCTTGGACGTTCAGCTGTTCTAGATGTCGGTGCCACATGTCTGGTAATTTTGTTGAACTATGGTATGGGGACAGAATAACGGTACCACTACACGAATTGAGGGATGGATGTTTTTCAAGGGTGACAGGAACAGTATCTTTATGGGGAAAGACGAGAGAGCCACAGCCTGGGGGTTAGCATTCTGTAGGTTAATGAATGCGCGTACCGCTCTTAAGAGCATGAAAAGAAATATCTTTACCACATGGCGTAGGAGTTGCCTTGCCAATACTATGGTCAGAAAGAATAATGCAGTAGGGAAGTTGGTCGTAAGTGAGAATTTAGGTCCACTGGTTCAGTCTGAACTGCAGCGTGCGAAAGGTCAGTGAAGGCGTGATCGATCGTTTTGGAGAAGAAACGAGGAAGCGTGAAAGGGGAGAAGTATCAGATCAGCAGGAATTGTCGTTGACGTTTGCGTGGACCAGTGTTGTCCGACGTTGTGAAAGGGTCCGGCGATTTGAAAATACCGCACCGTAGAGGGACGAGGCGGAAGCATAGTCAGAGGAGAGCGAAGGTCTGTAAATCGAAAGGAGTCAGTCGAGGCCTCAGTACCTGAAAGCGGGTGAGGAACAGCACGGCAATAGGTACAGACGGCTTGAGGATATGTCTGAAGAGTGGTCCAAAAAGACGAGGCCGGTGTCATCAGAACGGGGTGCGGTATCAAGAAGGGGCCCGGGGGGTAACCAGGTTCAATGGGACTAGGGCTGGCCTATGGTTAGGTTACTTCTTTCTTTTTGTTTTAGAAAAAAAAAGAAAGAAGAAAAGAATAATAAAAATAACAAAAAAGGAAAAAAAAAAAGGGGGGACCAGGGGGATAGTTCCTAGGAGGAATGAAGGGCCAGAAATCTCCCTCCGCGCCCATAGAGGACTCGACACCGCTAGTAGCGCAGATGCAAGCATGGAACCCGTGCCATACCCTACCCTTCATGCCAGTTAAACCACAATCTGGGATAGAACCTCACATCTGCCGAGCTACCTCGGTGGCACAAAAGAGACGGCGCGGACCGGATATCCGCCACAAAGCATACCTCTTCAGCCTCCACCCCGGATCGAAAGGTCTGGCTTACAGAGATACACCGTCGCCCAAAAGACACCCAAAGCCTCTCCGGGATACCGGAGAGGGAGCAGGATCGGGACATCCTAGGCAATCCAGGATTCCACGGCAAACTACGCACGCCAAGAAACCTCAACGGAATGGGATTGGGACCCCGGTTCCTTTCCCCTACTAGGAACTAGCGCGGCCTGTGGGAGAGATCACGAAGGCTAAAAAGAGGAAGGGCAAAAGGGAGGGGTTGTGGACTGTGAGAGGAGGAGGAGGAGTGGAAAAAGGGCGAGGATGGGATAGGGGGGGGGTCGAGTGGGGGGTGGTAATAGTTCGGTCTGAGGAAGAAGACGACAGGGCTAATTCTCAGACCAAGAGCCTCTTCACCACGCCAAGGAGCCCCCCTTGAAGAGGACACCATTGTAAAATAATTTCCAATGAATTATGAATTTACAAAGAGGTTTTTAAAGGTGTCATGAAACATGACCCAATTTTCCTACAATTTTTTTTCACACTACATATCCTGCCACCACATACAGCTATAATTTCAGGAACTTAACCCTGTTCAAGAACAAGGTATCCTTGTATCTTAAACAGGGATACCTAATACTGATTTAAATAAAACAAAAAATCATCATTTTTTTATTCAACAGTAAAAAACTTACACCATATACATTCATAAATACTTTTCTGTACACAATATTCTTAAATATTTACAATTTGCATAGTGTACACTTACAACCGCAATATGGACAGTCAATATGACCATTGGATTCCATGATTATGAGCACATTAGGGATAGGAAGAGCACAGCATCTGTAGTACTATCCAAGGATCACAATGATTATTCACATTAGGCATTATCACACTGTGACACAAGACATATGAGATTTGTTTTACCCTCTCCATATAAATCTGTGTACAGTACATAAGTAACAAATATTGACAAATTTAAAAAAAAATTGTACTTATGTTACTGGCAGAGAATTTTCTATATAAAGTATTTATACACAAAATTAAAAAAAAAATTACCTATAAATTTTAATGGAAGGTACTCGTGGAAACACCTCAATGTTATTAAAACTAGCTGCAGTATTTATTGTCCAGGATCTAGTTACTACCTAATTTAGCAGTATCATTCATTAATAATATATATTAAATTTTAAAAACAGATAGTATACCCATTCTATGATAGCCAAAATATTTTGCCAATGTACCAATTTTTTTTTTTTTTTTTTTTTTTTTTTTAATACATGATGGCCTAGGAAACAACTATAAGCTACTGGCAAGATAATTTTTTGTTTTTCTAGAGGAATAATGTATGGGACAGAGGAGGACTGATATACATAGAGCCAGGTAACTTTCACAAAGGAGTTAAAGGAAACTGTTTAGCTGGACTCAAGACTTGGAGAGTGCCTGCACTCTTGGAGGGGTGTGTTGTAGTCGGGGGGTTAATCTGACTTGTGTTGGCACACTTCTGTAAAAATGGCAATTAGAATGCTTTGGGTCATCCTTGCCTTGGTAGGAGACTGCCATTGTTATAAAGGGATTCGGGGAAACTGATTAACTGGACTAGTCCTGGAGGTATAGTACATACACTCTGAAAGAAGGGTGGGTATACTGCAGTTAGGAGGGGTATCAGTTATGTCAGCACACCTCTGGAGTGAGTGATGAAGGCATTTCTTTTTCAGTCGCCCTACTTTGGTGGGAGGTAGCTGGTGTTTAAAAAAAATACACAATTTTTTCTTAAACACACTGACCCTTCTCCCACCGAGGCAGGGTGACCCAAAAAAGAACCACCTCTTCTTTTTACATTTAGTAATTTATACAGAGTTTTTACTAACCCCCTTGCTCCCAGCATTTTAGTAGTCTCGTAAACATGTGGCTTACAGAGAAAGGATATGACCCCCACATACACACTTTATATTAATAGTATACAATACCCATTTTATTATAAGAATCAGAATCAATGTAGGTTTAAGTTTGACAAGAATTCATTCTTATGCCATAGTAGAACCTTCATTAACCTGAAGATTTGCTCCTAATTTAGAGATCTGAGTATTCCACTTGTATCATATTATAGGCAGAGGAAAGATAAAGTAAGAAAAGAGGGAATATGACAGGCAATCAGAATTTTAATACCTTGTATGAAAATCCTTTTATGTAACAATCCAGTAAAACTTAAATTAATTGCACTCTTAGGAACAACAAAAGCAACAATATTAAATAGTATAATAAATGTTCTAAACATGGACTACACATCAATGGAAACAATCACTAAGGTAAATTACATTTGTACTATGACACACTACAACTAAATTATTAGTTACATGAATGACTATATACAACAAATGAGCAAGGACAAATTAAAAATTTTCCTGCTGCTATTAAGAAATTGTAGTAAAAAAAAAAAAAAAATTATTCACAAATAAATGTTGATTAGCAATGGTTGTCTAACCTACTGGTTATTCAGTACCCACGAAAATTAACTGAACACAAATATATACATATTAACTCTGTATTAAGAGCATAAACTTCAGTTTATAAAACAATGTACAAAACATCAATTCAAAAGAAAGATTACCAATGTTATAATAGTTAAACCTAAGAGTTAAGCAAAGAAATTTTCATGATATAAAAAGGTGCATTCATTTCAATATTCTTACTATTTATATATACAGTAATACCTTTTCACTTAACATATGAAAAAAAAATTACTTATATAATGGTTAAACTTAAGGATTAGAAATCTTCATATAAAAGTACATTCATTTTAAATTTTTCAGTATAAATATATATATTTTTTCACCATATATACAAAACAAAGTATTTGCAAACTGAAAGACAGGTACACTCAATACATCTAGAAGGAACAGAACTGATAGAATTACAGGCTATTTATAAATGAAGAATGTGAGATCATGAAAAGTTACGGATGATACTTAATATCTACAACTTCAAAGGTCAGTGTGACAATGTTTCAGACAATGGCATCAATACTATACTCTTGGCAAAAAATATATGAAAAAAAAAAAAAAAATTTAAATACATCACTAGACAACTTTATTAAATATCCATCATCAGTCCTTATTTAATGGTAACCTTAATACAGTGGACCCCCAGTATTCGATGGCATCGATATTCGATAAATCCGGTATTCGATGCATTATATCGCAAAAATTTTGCCTCGGTATCCGATCGAAAACCTGGTATTCGATACGATTCGTACAAGACGTGTCCACGTGTGGCCTGAACTGCCCAGTGTGTGCCAGTGTTTACAAGCCAGCCAGTGTGCGCGCATCTAAGGATACATTCGGTACATTCCACATCATCACTGTTTTTGGGGTTTGTTTCTGCAAAATAAGTCACCATGGGCCCCAAGAAAGCTTCTAGTGCCAACCCTTCGAGAAAAAAGGTGCTAATGACTATTGAAATGAAGAAAGAGATAATTGCAAAGTACGAAAGTGGAGTGTGTGTGTCGGAGCTGGTCAGGTTGTATAATAAACCCCAATCAACCATCTCTACTATAGTGACCAGGAAAACGGCAATCAAGGAAGCTGTTCTTGCAAAAGGTGCAACTGTGATTACGAAACAGCGACCGAAAGTGTTAGAAAATGTTGAGAGACTGTTATTGGTGTGGATAAATGAAAAAACGAATAGCAGGAGATAGCATCTCTCAAGCGATCATTTGTGAAGAGGCTAGGCAGTTGCATGACAATTTGGTAAAGAAATTGCCTGCAACTAGTGCTGATGTGAGTGAATTTAAGGCCAGCAAAGGTTGGTTTGAAAGATTTAATCGTAGTGGCATACATAGTGTGATTAGGCATGGTGAGGCTGCCAGTTCAGACCAAAAAGCAGCTGAAAATATGTGAAGGAATTCAAGGATTACATAGACAGTGAAGACTTGAAACCTGAACAAGTGTTTAATTGTGACGAAACAGGCCTGTTTTAGAAGAAATTGCCAAGCAGGACCTACATTACTCAGGAGGAAAAGGCACTCCCAGGGCATAAGCCTGTGAAAGACAGGCTTACTCTGTTGTGTGCCAATGCTAGTGGTGATTGCAAAGTGAAGCCTTTATTGGTGTATCACTCTGAAACTCCCAGTGTTCAGGAAAAACAATGTCCTCAAGGCTAATTTGTGTGTGCTGTGGAGGGCAAACAGTAAGGTATGGGTCACTAGGGACTTTTTCTATGACTGGTTACACCATGCATTTGCCCCCACTGTGAAAAATTACCTAATTGAAAAGAAATTAGACCTTAGGTGCCTCCTGGTATTAGACAATGCCCCTGGTCATCCTACAGACTTGGCAGAGCGACTTTCTGGGGATATGAGCTTCATTAAGGTCAAGTTTTAGCCTCCTAATACCACTCCTCTCCTGCAGCCCATGGACCAGCAGGTCATTTCCAACTTCAAGAAACTGTACACAAAAGCTATGTTTCAAAAGTGCTTTGTAGTGACCACAGAAACTCAACTGACTAAAAGAGTTTTGGAAGGATCACTTTAATATCCTCAATTGTATAAACCTTATAGGTATGGCTTGGGAGGGAGTGACTAAGAGGACCTTGAACTCTGCTTGGAAAAAACTGTGGCCAGAATGTGTAGGCAAAAGGGATTTTGAAGGATTTGAGGCTAACCTTGAGAAGCCTATGCCAGTTGAGGAATCCATTGTGGCATTGGGGAAGTCCTTGGGGTTGGAGGTTAGTGGGGAGGATGTGGAAGAGTTGGTGGAGGAGGACAATGAAGAACTAACCACTGATGAGCTGCTAGATCATCTTCAACAGCAAGAGGCCACACCTGCGGAAACTGCTTCGGAGGAGGGGATAGAGAAATTGAAGAAGTTGCCTACTTCACAGATTAAGGAAATGTGTGCAATGTGGCTTAAAGTGCAAACCTTTTTTGATGACAATCACCCTAACACAGCTATTGCAAGCCGTGCTGGTGACTATTACACTGACAATGTTGTGAAATACTTTAGGAATGTCACAAAGGAACAGGAGGTACAGGCCACTATGGACAGATATGTTGTGTGACAGAAGTCCAGTGACTCTCAAGCTGGTCCTAGTGGCATTAAAAGAAGGGAAGTAACCCCGGAAAAGGACTTGCTACCTCAAGTCCTAATGGAAGGGGATTCCCCTTCTAAACACTAACACCTCTCCCATCAATCATCACCAGATCTTCATTAAAGGCAAGTGTCAATTATTCTGTTGTTATTGTAATTATTCTATTGCATTAAACTTAATATTTCATGTAGTAACATTTTTTTTTTCATACTTTTGGGTGTCTTGCACGGATTAATTTGATTTCCATTATTTCTTATGAGGAAAATTTATTCGCTTTTCGATATTTGATGAGCTCTCAGGAACGGATTAATATCGAATACCGGGAGTCCACTGTAGTACCACTTTTTATGAAGCTGGTACAATACATATTTTAAGCATTTCATGTTATTTACAATACTTCATTAAAATCTGAGCTTAGTACTGTATTTTGAATATATATGAAATACACTGTACAAACACTTAAGTAGAGGCATTCCAGCATATAAAATATATTAACTATTAATGTGACAGGCATTTTTTCTCCATGTTTCAACAATATGTTAGCTTTCCACATATAGTAATGTATAATTAACTTTATCGTAATCAGCATTAAACACTCTGAACATGCAGTAACAGAATTCTAAATGTTACTCATTTTTACATATAATCTTTTTCACACTGGTTATTTTGTAAATACTGTAAACAGTTGTAATGTTATACAGAATAACAAAATTGTTGATATACTGTACTGTATCTGTGTTTCACGACTTTACATTTAAAGCACCTAATAAAAAACTACGAAATTTCAGCAAATTTTTCAACATTAGGGGTCTTGCTTCATATCAGTAATATTCTTAATAACCTCTCGAAGTTGGGAGACTAAGTGAAGGTCACGGGTGGCTTGAGTACGGCGGTAAGTAATGGGGCAGGCTAATGATATACATTCGACTTCTTGCAAACGGCAGCCAAGGCATGTTTCACATACCTATTGGTACATATTTATTTTAGAATGTGTTTAATATAATTACATCCAAAAGCCACAGGAACATGTGTAATAATAAATACCCATTCCAAATCTGTCACAATCAAAATTTTAAAATTTATCTTACTGCTTTGACTTTCAGTATAATATAAAATGTAATAATTACAGTATTTATATACAGAACAGAAAATAACAATGCTCACCTTCTGAATGTGGCTTACTGCTCTTTCATAGTTGCGAATCTTTTCATTAAGTTTAATAACAGTCACATCTGTACAAGTCTTGCAAGCTGAACACAGTCCTACACCTTGCATTGAGGAAGTATTATTTGCCCCACAAGCAACACAGGAAGATGGTGTGAAGTATCGGGCAATGGATATACCACCACAATTGAACTTCATTCCTTTATGGGTTACAGCACCTTCTGTTGCCAAGGAGGAAAATGTAGTTGTGGAGGGCCTTGGCAATTCACTGTACCTAAAATACACCACAAATTATGTTTAAAATGCCATAAATGCACTTTTATTTTTTATCTATCGTGTATTGTATACTTGAGTACTGCTAGTCTTCCTGTATAAGTCAACCTTGACTTTTTGCTAAAGAAAAAAAAAAAAAGTTGTATTTTCATCTATCACTATCCTTGCTTATGAAGGACAGTGGAACAATATTTGGGAATTAAAGTACATTATTGTACCAGGTGTTGGCATTATATTTCGTGCAAACAGAAAAAAAGACAGCCCCAAAATCTACTGTATACCCTTTAGCCTTACAAATATGGAGGAAAGACTAAAGTGAAAAACCACTCACTCAGCTGATAATGTGTTGGGGCCACTGTAACAAGATTTGGTAAGCAGTGCAGCTTGCTCCATTAAAACAAAGGTACACTGTAGCAGACCTACTAGCTAGTGCTTGCAAGATCTACTTTCACCTCGCCATTTTCACTATACAAAACATTGCTTGTCTACATAAAAACAGGAGCATGGTAGTAGGCCTAGTTGCTCATGTTTAGTAAGTCTCTCATCCAACTATTCCCAGACACAACTATTGCCAAACTGCATTTTAACATAAGAGTAGCACTGTAGTAAGATTTCTGTAGGTTTAGCTCTCCTTTTTGATTTTAATAATAATGCAGCAAGATTTACTAGCCCATGCTATGCAGGTTCTATTCTCACCCAACCACTCCCACTACTCTTTTCCTTTTAACACACCAGCCATCTCCTATCATTACTGTTGCTCACACTCCAACAGCATGTCAAGCCACAAAAACCACTTGTCTCCACTCACTCTGATCTAGCACTCGTATAAGCCTGCTGGATGATCAAACCCCTAGCACTCAAAACCTCCTTTACCTAGTCCTTTCAACCCTTCCCTTCTACCCCAGATTTAAACACCCTCTTATACCCCTCACAGCCCAGCCCTGGGCCAGGCTTGTCTGGTGCCTGCCTAATAAACCAGGCTGATATTGCTGGCAGCCCACTGGCTCCACATATCACAGCCCAAACCACCACAGCACTGAATATGCTCTTATAAAGGAATTAGAACACTGATTTGGCAGTAGTTGTAGAGGAGTAGAATCTATGATTGTGCCTGGCTTCTCCTTTACTCCCTCGCAATCCATGGGGATTTGTCCTACAAGATGGATGAGGATAGAAAAAATTGTAAAATGAAGTAATGTACTAGTCTAAACTTAAACTTAGGATAACATGAATGTGGTTATATCTTAATGCTGAGCTTGAAGAGCGTAAAAGATGGTATAAACAAGTTAAGAGTTATATGAATATCAAAACACTCGAATCCTGTGTTTTTTCAGTGCTTCTAACATTTGCTACTAATATTACTGAATTATTTATTTCCTGCAATCATGACTAATTTTCAGCAAACTTAATTTCTACAGTCAATACTAATTTGCTGCCACTGTAATTGTGATTAATTTACAGTACTGTTATGAAAGTCAATTACAATATTTTATATTTATGGGTCAATGCTAAACTTGCATCACTTATCTAAGAACATAATAAAACAATTTTAAGTCCATTACTTACACTTATAATCACATCCATTATCGAAGTCAACAAATTTTGACAAAAGGAGAAATCTCCCCCACTTTAGACCAAAAACTGGATTCCTGAGTACTTAGGCAGAAAATCAGACATCCCAGTGTAATGGGATGCACTATGAAAGTGAAGTATGTGATTAAGGAATTTAAATAGAATGAATGTGCATTTTTTTTTTTAGTTTGACACTAATCGTTCGTTAGAGCAAAAATATTCATTCATACCTACACGTATTAACATTGTCAGTGCTGACGGATACTAGACTTACTGTATATTACTGGCAATAAGTCGATCTGGACCGTAAGACCAGGGAGGGAGGGAAGGGGAGGGTTCACACCAATAAGCCTTAGGCATAACCCCAGGTATTAGTTGGGGAGTATATTCTCAGTCCTCACACATGGGAATACATCAGATTTTTTCTGCATCAGCAGTCAACACTATGGAGAGTTTTCATATCCTCTAAAGAATCTGGTAATAATGTTTTTGTATAAATTATTTATCACCCTGAGAGTTGCAAACTAAATAAATCAGTTATTTTCAACATCATTCAATACACACACACACTATATTCATAGCCTCTAGATCTTCAGCATTAAAATATGAGGTAAATGGCAATATGGGAGCAAGGGGCTAATAACCCCTTTCCTGTATAAATTACTAAATTTAAAAAGAACAACTTCTATTTTTCTTTTTAGGTCACCCTGCCTCGGTGCGATACGACCGGTTCATTGAAAAAAAAAATGGAAATGTATGCAAATCGTTTATAGAACAGAAAGTCACAGGTCTCCACAGATGCAAAAAAATTAGATGCTTTCTGCATTAACAGTCAACATCCACACTACTGTCATATCTTCTGGAAGCTGGGTATTACTCTGGGGAAATTTATTTAGTGAGAAACCTCAATTAACTGCCAATCATATACTGGTATGGTGAAGTTTTCTGCATGAAAGGAGTCTTATATTCTAAAGTACAAATTTCCCCTCATTTTATGGAAATTCATTATTGTGTAATGTACCATTTCTATCAGTAATTTAATTCCATGTCTCATAACTCTCCAGGGGGAACTGGAAAAGAATTCTTCCTCTTTAAGCCATGTGTGTTGTAAGAAGTGACTAAAATGCCAGGAGCAAGGGGATAGTAAAACCTTCTCCTGTATATATTACTAATTTAAAGAGAGAAACTTTCATTTTTATTTTCAAGTCACCCTGCCTCTGTGAATACAACTGGTTAGCTGAAAAAAAGAAATCTCATATATATTTGTTGGGTATTATCAGTGTAGTTCACAAAATTTACTGAACATTCATAATGTGAAATAAAGTGTTGACCTGATTTAGCTTAGCACAACTACCATGGCCTGGACTGCACCTACTGAATTAAGTGAGGGACACCTCCACAAGTGTATATAGGCCTGGTTGGTTACTAAGAAAATAGTACAGTGAGACTAAAAGTAGAGGTAGAACAGAATTAATAAACAAAAATAAATTTGTAGCAGAATAGGATAAGACTAGCAATGCTAAACACTGATGAGACTAAACATAAAACTATAAAATACATAGTGATGAAAAAAGTTTATAGTAGTGAAAACAGTGTTCTGATATGTGAAAACCCAAGCACAACTAGGCAGTTTACTGCCTATATAATGGATTTTGGATATAATGGACAAAATCTTTGGCCAGACAAATGTTCACTACAAAAGATTAAGTCCACTGCATAGAAATTCTGCCTGTTAGCAGCAATGTGTATCCTGCAGACTCACCATGCAATGGACCAAGTCCACTGCATCAAGAGTGTCCATTAATAATAGTACACGCATCAGGTAGGCTCTACAACAAACCATGTCTGTTGCATTGGACATTTTTAGATAATAGATTTTTGTTTAAATGGACACCTTCTTCCTCACTACTAGTCCATTAGACTGAGGCCTCACCACTTTTATTTAATATCACATCTTAATTATTATGTGTGTAAAATGCCCTTTTATCTTACCAGTTATTAACGTCAACGCCTAAAAGTGAAAAACATCTCTCCAAAGGTGGTAAAATGGCTCGAGTGACATAGTGTGTAGCATTGACACGAAGAGTTGGATCAGCCAAGACAACGTCAGGTGAACGAATAAGCTGGATGAGAGGTAATCCTGGGGCGCCATAAACAATCACATATGGAACACGTTCACCCGAGCGTGGCTCCCTTCGTCGGTCTCTGCGAATCCATTGCCTGCAATATTCAGTGTACTATGAGATGCTACGTTGAATTCCCAGCTCATATAAACTTATGCAAAAAGTAATGTTATTTAAAGTTTTTGTATAAAACATAATTTTAAAATAAAAATTCTGAACTACCTTACAGAACTAAGATTTTTTTTGTTCATACAATGACGTTATGCTAGGCGATCATCACCAACAAACGGTGTAAATACCTCTTCTAGGCTGATAGAAACTGTCACTACAAGTATTTTCATACATCAGTATAGTGTATTAAAAAATAGATAAAAATAAAATTCCAAGCATCTCCCCAATAATTTTAATATAAACATCCAAATACAGTGGACCCCCGCATAACGATCACCTCCGAATGCGACCAATTATGTAAGTGTATTTATGTAAGTGCATTTGTACGTGTATATTTGGGGGTCTGAAATGAACTAATCTACTTCACAATATTCCTTATGGGAACAAATTCGGTCAGTACTGGCACCTGAACGTACTTCTGGAGTGAAAAAATATCGTTAACCGGGGGTCCACTGTATCTTGACCACAGAAGAGCATGCATAATTATTTTCATACAATTTTATAGGGGTAACAGCAAATGCAAGAGAACTTGGTTTCCCAGAAATATAGGCAACGCCTGAAAATAATTACTGTAATTCTTAAGGCGACACTAAATGAGAAAATTAAATAATTTGTATCAAATTTAGTTAATACAAAATTAAGAAAAAACATTGAAATTACTATAAATAATAAAATTAACAATAATCATCTTATGAATATTTGTACAGTAAATCCTCTAACAGACTAAGAGGGAGGAGGGGGTGTACGTTATAGCCAATTGTCGACACATTCGAAATTATGAGATTAATTTTTTACGAGCATCACAAATGAACAAAGTTGTGAATCAGTGGACTTGGTCAAAGAACTAACACAACTACAGGACACTAAGAATACAGGTATTGTAATCTGTAGTACTACAGTACAGTAATTTAGTTTTATTTCAACACAACGGCCATTTCCCACCGAGGCAGGATGGCCCAAAAGAGAAACACTTTCACCCTCATTCACACATAATCACTGTCTTTGCAGAGGCATGCAGATATGACAGCTGAGATGTCACTCCAAACAGCAAATATCCCACACCCCTTTTAACCCTTTCAGAGTTGGTGCTGTACTAGTACGGCTTGCACGCCAGGGTTGGTGCCGTATTAGCACGCATAAATTCTAGCGCCTTCGAATCTAGCGAGAGAAAGCTGGTAGGCCTACATATGAAAGAATGGGTCTCTGTGGTCAGTGTGCGCAGTATAAAAAAAAATCCTGCAGGAGACAGTGCATAATGAGAAAAAAAAACTCCAACCATGTTTATGGTTTAAAACAGCGACTTTGCAGTGTATTTTCGTATGCTATTTATGGTTGTATTCCAGTTTTCCTGGTCTCATTTTATAGAATGGAAGACATATTACGGAAATTTAGATGATTTTGATTGGTTTCACAATGAAAAGTACCTTGAAATTGAGCTCAAAGTAGCAGAAATGTTTGATTTTTGCCAAAGTTCAAAAGTAAATAAATCAAGCCATGTGTCCAATACACGTCAACTGTGAGTCTAATTCTTTCACAAGTGTGCTGATATTATTTATACCATTTCTACACCATTTCTTCACTAATGCAGTACTCTGTATAACGGTAAATCTTCTGTTTTTTGTGAGAATAAAAATTCAAAGTGGAAAGCAAAAGAAATGTAACAGAGGCCTGGGGACATGACTAATGAACAGAGGAAATGTTATTTTAGTGCCAGGAATGTCTGTCTTGTTTATTCTGGACCTATTTGGAAATTGGCTCTTTTGAAATTTGTGTGAAATTGGCAAAATTGCCAATTTCGGACCACTTTATTGGATAGTTGAAATCAGTAAATGGGTGGTTTCTTGTACTCATTCAATAGAAAAAATGGAGTTCTAGCGAAATAGTTATGATTTTTGTCGACTGGTACATTGGAATTGGCTGAAAATAGGGCTCAAAGTGGGCGAAATTGCCGATGTGTAAACATCGTCAAGATCGCTAACTTTGCGAGAGCATAATTCCGTAAGTTTTCCATCAAGTTTTATACTTTTGGTGTCATTATGATTGGGAAAAGATTCTCTATCATTTCATAAGAATTTTTTTTTTTTCGAAGAATTTCCGACCCTTAGAACAAGTTTAGGAGAGGGCCTGCCGACCCTGAAAGGGTTTGAGAGCAGAATTTGTACTTCCCACCTCCAGGACTCTAGTCCGGCTAACTGCTTTCCCCGAATCCCTTCACAAAATATTACCTTGCTCACACTTCAACAGCTTGTCAAGACCCAAAAACCATTCATTTTCATTCACTCCTATCTAACACATTCACACATGCCTGCTGTATGTTCAAGCCCCTTGCACACAAAACTTTTTTTTTTTTTTTCATGAAACTGGCCATATCCCACTAAGGCAGGGTGACCTTACAAAGAAAAACAAGTTTTTCTAAATTTAAAAAGAAAAATAAGTTTTTCTTTTTTAGGTAGTAAGTTGGTAGACAACAACCACCCAGGGAGGTACTACCGTCCTGCCAAGTGAGTGTAAAATGAAAGTGGCCTTTATCAAGTCATAAACAGATCTACCTGGGTGAAACGTACGTGAGTATTTATAGAACAGAGTCAGGTGAAGAATGCTGGGTAGGTTGGATCTGAACCTGCATGTGACAATCTTCCGATTAGGGTGATAGAGGCTAGGACCATATATTTGTCCAATCTCTCTTGAAAGCTACCCAAGGTCCTAGCAGCCTCTATCACCCTACTCAGAAGATTGTCACATGCAGGTTCAGATCCAACCTACCCAGCATTCTCCACCTGACTCCATTCTATAAATATTCACATACCTTTCACCCAGGCAGATCTGATTATGACTTGATAAAGCCCACTGTGTGGGCGAAGCGTTGTCAATAAAGGATCACATTATACTGCTTGTGTGTTTATTTTTCCATTGTGTCAGTATTTTATACCATTTATTTCCACATACACTCTCTGCCAATCCTTAGGTACCCTCCCCTCTTTCATACATTTATTGAACAATAGTACTAACTACTCCAAAACTATATCCCCACCTGCTTTTAACATTTCTTTCATGATTCCATCAGTTCCAGCTGCTTTACCCCCTTTCACTCTACCCAATGCCAAATCTATTTTGCACATAGGCAACATTTAGGCAACTTGATCAATAGTGGTGACTTGGAATAACTTTTGTTCTGAGAGGAGCTGTAAAGCTCTACCAACATCTGAGCTAAACTTAGAACAGTCTATAAGTTAAACTTTGCTTGTATGGGTATCAGACACTGTTTAATACCATATTCCTTACATACCCATGCCATTCAGATGCCACTCACCCTTCTTTATGAGTTCAGGTTTCTGCCTAACACTGAGAGCTACACGTTTCCTCTTGGCATCACCACTAGCTTTAGAAGCTGTTATTAACTGCACTTTACTTAAGTTAATCAAGTCACACAAATCACTGTAAATTCAAGGAAAATTGGAGACTTAATGACACATGAATGCATCAGTGAGCACAGTCAACAAAGTGGCACAGGTGACCTACAGATCAGGAAATAATGAAAGCAGACAGGTCCTGGATGAGCACACACTGGCCCATAATGGACAAATGAATAATCAGATTGGGTCTAATGATTCAAAAGATAACCAGGCACTATCACTAATGACAAAATCCAAAATTTACACTTTTTTTTTTTTATATTGTCCAATGATTCCAATATTTGTCTAGCTAATTTTTTTCCCATAATTTCCAAAATCTGTTAAATTTGGGTCTGTTAATTGGAGGGTTTACTGTACATTTAACACTGCTTCTGAGTCAGATACAGAAACAATATAGCATTTGACCAAGCAGAGCATAAATACATTAACCACACTCACTTTGTTAATTCAAGTGCAGGAACACAGGCTGTGGGCCTGTATCCTCTTGCTCCCCTATATTCCTTTGCAAATATTAAGTCTTGAAGTGAAACCTTGCCTTGAAGCAGTTTTATAAATTGACGTTGCACAAAGTCTTTCACTTGAGATATATCTTTGTCCTCAAACAACAAACGAAGTGACTTCTCCAGGATCTGAAATGTTTTTACTTTCTTTATATAAAAAAGCTTAAGATACAAACCAACAAAAATTTTAGACTCATACACTTCTACCTTTATGATTTTTCTCATTTTCTAATCTGAAACAATTGACATGTTGGCAATTTAAAACCTCTTAACTATGAAGGATAGAATAACTAGAGCAAATAAGTGAATATGCCATGCCAGAACAATTCAGTCATGCAACTGGATGTCAAATTTTGGCCACATTAATTTTAGCTAAATTTGGTATATTCATGTATATGCTTCTAAATTGTTGTGTTCTGGGCACCTCTGTAAAAACAGTGATTATGTATGAGTGAGGTGAAAGTGTTGAATGATGATGAAAGTATTTTCTTTTTGGGGATTTTCTTTCTTTTTGGGTCACCCTGCCTTGGTGGGAGACAGCCAACTTGTTAACCCTTTCAGGGTCCAAGGCCAAAATCTGAAGTCACGCACCAGTGTCCAAGAATTTTCAAAAAAAAAAAAATTGTTATTTTTTCTTATGAAATCGTAGAGAATCTTTTTGTGAAGGTAATAAAACAAAAAGTACGAAATTTGGTGGAAAATTGACGAAATTATGCTCTCGCGAATTTTGATGTGTCAGCGATATTTACGAATCGGCGATTTTGCTGACTTTGACTCCCATTTTAGGCCAATTACCTTATTCCAATCAACCAAATTCTTAGCTATTTCACTGGTATTACTTCTATTCTATCGATTGAGCACAAGAAATCGCCAAGTCAACTGTTTCAACTACAAAATAAAGTGATCGGAAATTGTTAATTTGGCCAATTTAAACACAAAGTTCAAAATATTCCAATTTCAAAATAGGCTCCAGAATAAACAATGTAGGTATTCCTGGAACTAAACTAACATTTCCTCTGTTCATTAGTTACATTTTGAGGCTTTACAAATAAATTCCATTTTGATTTTTTATTCACATAATGAATTTTTATTCACACCAAAAAAATAGTTTTTACTGTTATGCAATACTGTAATAATTGTATAAATATCATCACCATATTTGTGAATGTATATTAGACCCACCAGCTGACGTGTATTAGATGTGTGAGGTCGTTTGTTTACTCTTGAATATCGGCAAAAATTTAACATTTCCGCTACTTTGAGTCAGTTTCAAGCCATTTCCAGTGCTAAAACCAATCAAAATCATCTCTATTTCTGTAATATGTCTTCCATTCTATCAAATGAGACCAAGAAATCGCAAATACAACTATAAAAAACATACGAAAAAACACTGCAAAGTCGCTGTTTTAATCGAAAATCATGATTTCAGTTTTTTTTCTCTCATTATACACAGTGTGCTGCAGGATCTGTTTTATGTGGTGCACACATACCACATAGATGTATTCTCTCATATCTAGGCCCAAATGTACCACTCACAGTTTATCAGAGTGAGCTGAGCTCATGGCGTAGATCTACGGTTTGGACACTCACCGTAAAGCCGTAGATCTACGGGACGGACCCTGAAAGGGTTAAAAAAAAAAAAAAAATGTACTGAACATTTGAACCCTAACTGTCAGGAGATTTGAGGAAAACCAGAGAATGCATAAATGTAATCTAATTCCAAAGTGAGACCTACTGAGTTTATAACCATTAGACATGAAATGCAAAACATGCTAACTACACTGTACACTGATTCTCTGCCAAATCACATCTTATGTTTCCTACTGTATCTTGTCAAATGACTTATTATTCACATACTGTCTACAATCCTAAAGTGAGGAGAAACTTCCCACCAACTAGGGTACACTCATATCTAACCATTTTAAAGCAAACGGTAATTTCCTTGTCCCATATGTGGCGTTCTTTGTCTAGAAACCTCTGCTTCAATTATGCTACATAACATTCAAGCTCAGATAAGATACAAACACTCTGACCCATATGTTGTAAGGAATTGCATGGCACCCCCATGAAAAATTAAGGTAATTACACTGAAATCTTCAAAGCAAAAAACCTAAGTTTTCCACAATATGTACCATTCATAAGTAAAACGCTAAAGTGGGAGCTTGTATAATAGAGTTAATGACACCTGACTATTGCAAGTGGATTGAAAATTACTAAAATAAAACATAACTATAAGAGAGAGAATAACACTAAAGGCACGTAGTATTTGAAGATCCAAAGGAATAATGATGCAATCCTGCAGCATTAAAAACTTCTATTGCTAGATGAGGCTGGTCTGATATTTCAAATGAGTGGCTAAACTGCAAGTGCAGCTTTTTATTGTTATCACTAAGAGGTAAATGACAACTTTCCAGACTCCTTGATGATGATATTGTGAAAACAATTTGGCCAGACTGAGAACAAAAAAATCAGAAATCCAGTGCTCTAAGAAAGGAACTGGCTTTGTACCTAAGAAAATTCAAGGACAGAAAGAACTACCACAAATTATGAAAATGTTTACATGGCCTAGGGAGGCCAAGCCAATTGAGGAAAAGAAGAAATTCATGAGCAAAGGTGAAGGTGTCTGAACACCAGAGCAACAGGATGGTAACTGGTGTGATGTGGGTTATACAGATCCCAGCTGATACCTTAATACTTCGCTCTGGTAACGATTATTTGAGCAAGAGCTAACCAAAAACTTTAGACTTCCAGCATTATTAGAAGAGAGTACAGTGGTCCCTCGATAATCGTCCGGCTCGATAGTCATGCTTATCGGAAATTGTCGCGTTATTTTCATCCAAACATTGGCTTGCAAATGGTCGGTTGACTCGCTAATCGTCATTCATCCTGGATGCGTACTCACAACTCTGAGCCACCTCGGCCTCCCTTCCCAGCCAGCGTGCCATTGTTTACCAGTGAGTGACGGTCCCCTCACTTGTTCATACGAAATATTTCATAATATTCCATTCATTTTAGTGCTTGCAAGTGCTAAATAAGCTATCATAGCTCCAAAGAAAGCTCCTAGTGCCAAGCCTTTGGTAAAGAAGGTGAGAAATACAATTGAATTTAAGAAAAACATCATTGAACAATGCGAAAGTGGCGTACGTATGGCGGAACTGGCCAGGATGTATAAGAAATTCCGTACAACCATATCTTCCATCGTGGACAAGAAAAAGGAAATCAAGGAAGTTGTTGTTGCAAAGGGGGTAAATATGCTGACAAAAATGAGATCACCAGTACTCGAAGATGTTGAGAAGTTATTATTGGTGTGTGAGATATAAGCGACTATTGGCAGAAAGGTGGGCTAGTGCAAAGATGAGTAGTGGGGGGGTTGAAGAGGGTTGGAATAGTTTTAAAAATGCAGTATTAGAATGTGGGGCAGAAGTTTGTGGTTATAGGAGGGTGGGGGCAGAAGGAAAGAGGAGTGATTGGTGGAATGATGAAGTAAAGGGTGTGATAAAAGAGAAAAAGGTAGCTTATGAGAGGTTTTTACAAAGCAGAAGTGTTATAAGAAGAGCAGAGTATATGGAGAGTAAAAGAAAGGTAAAGAGAGTGGTGAGAGAGTGCAAAAGGAGAGCAGATGATAGAGTGCGAGAGGCACTGTCAAGAAATTTTAATGAAAATAAGAAAAAATTTTGGAGTGAGTTAAACAAGTTAAGAAAGCCTAGGGAAAGTATGGATTTGTCAGTTAAAAACAGAGTAGGGGAGTTAGTAGATGGGGAGATGGAGGTATTAGGTAGATGGTGAGAATATTTTGAGGAACTTTTAAATGTTAAGGAAGAAACAGAGGCAGTAATTTCATGCACTGGACAGGGAGGTATACCATCTTTCAGGAGTGAAGAAGAGCAGAATGTAAGTGTGGGGGAGGTACGCGAGGCATTACGTAAAATGAAAGGGGGTAAAGCAGCTGGAACTGATGGGATCATGACAGAAATGTTAAAAGCAGGGGGGGATATAGTGTTGGAGTGGTTGGTACTTTTGTTTAATAAATGTATGAAAAAGGGGAAGGTACCTAGGGATTGGCAGAGAGCATGTATAGTCCCTTTATATAAAGGGAAAGGGGACTAAAGAGACTGTAAAAATTATAGAGGAATAAGTTTACCGAGTATACCAGGAAAAGTGTACGGTAGGGTTACAATTGAAAGAATTAGAGGTAAGACAGAATGTAGGATTGCGGATGAGCAAGGAGGTTTCAGAGTGGGTAGGGGATGTGTAGATCAAGTGTTTACATTGAAGCATATATTTTTTTTTATTTATTATCACACCGGCCGATTCCCACCAAGGCAGGGTGGCCCGAAAAAGAAAAACTTTCACCATCATTCACTCCATCACTGTCTTGCCAGAAGGGTGCTTTACACTACAGTTTTTAAACTGCAACATTAACACCCCTCCTTCAGAGTGCAGGCACTGTACTTCCCATCTCCAGGACTCAAGTCCGGCCTGCCGGTTTCCCTGAATCCCTTCATAAATGTTACTTTGCTCACACTCCAACAGCACGTCAAGTATTAAAAACCATTTGTCTCCATTCACTCCTATCAAACACGCTAAGATAACAGGGATATCTTGCTACTCCTACTTACACTTTGGTCACACTTCACAGACACGCACATGCATATATATATATATATACATACATCTAGGTTTTTCTCCTTTTTCTAAATAGCTCTTGTTTTTTTTTATTTCTTCTATTGTCCATGGGGAAGTGGAAAAGAATCTTTCCTCCGTAAGCCATGCGTGTCGTATGAGGCGACTAAAATGCCGGGAGCAATGGGCTAGTAACCCCTTCTCCTGTATACAATTACTAAAAAAGAGAAGAAGAAAAACTTTATAAAACTGAAGCATATATGTGAACAGTATTTAGATAAAGGTAGGGAAGTTTTTATTGCATTTATGGATTTAGAAAAGGCATATGATAGAGTGGATAGAGGAGCGATGTGGCAGATGTTGCAAGTATATGGAATAGGTGGTAAGTTATTAAATGCTGTAAAGAGTTTTTATGAGGATAGTGAGGCTCAGGTTAGGGTGTGTAGAAGAGAGGGAGACTACTTCCCGGTAAAAGTAGGTCTTAGACAGGGATGTGTAATGTCACCATGGTTGTTTAATATATTTATAGATGGGGTTGTAAAGGAAGTAAATGCTAGCGGTGTTCGGGAGAGGGGTGGGATTAAATTTTGGGGAATCAAATTCAAAATGGGAATTGACACAGTTACTTTTTGCTGATGATACTGTGCTTATGGGAGATTCTAAAGAAAAATTGCAAAAGTTAGTGGATGAGTTTTGGGAATGTGTGTAAAGGTAGAAAGTTGAAAGTGAACATAGAAAAGAGTAAGGTGATGAGGGTGTCAAATGATTTAGATAAAGAAAAATTGGATATCAAATTGGGGAGGAGGAGTATGGAAGAAGTGAATGTTTTCAGATACTTGGGAGTTGACGTGTCGGCGGATGGATTTATGAAGAATGAGGTTAATCATAGAATTGATGAGGGAAAAAAGGTGAGTGGTGCGTTGAGGTATATGTGGAGTCAAAAAATGTTATCTATGGAGGCAAAGAAGGGAATGTATGAAAGTATAGTAGTACCAACACTCTTATATGGGTGTGAAGCTTGGGTGGTAAATGCAGCAGCGAGGAGACGGTTGGAGGCAGTGGAGATGGTCCTGTTTAAGGGCAATGTGGGGTGTAAATATTATGCAGAAAAATTCAGTGTGTGGAAATTAGGAAAAGGTGTGGAGTTAATAAAAGTATTAGTCAGGGGGCAGAAGAGGGGTTGTTGAGGTGGTTTGGTCATTTAGAGAGAATGGATCAAAGTAGAATGACATGGAAAGCATATAAATCTATAGGGGAAGGAAGGCGGGGTAGGGTCGTCCTCGAAAGGGTTGGAGAGAGGGGGTTTAAAGGAGGTTTTGTGGGCAAGGGGCTTGGACTTCCAGCAAGCATGCGTGAGCGTGTTAGATAGGAGTGAATGGGGGACGAATGGTACTTGGGACCTGACGATCTGTTGGAGTGTGAGCAGGGTAATATTTAGTGAAGGGATTCAGGGAAATCGGTTATTTTCATATAGTCGGACTTGAGTCCTGGAAATGGGAAGTACAATGCCTGCACTTTAAAGGAGGGGTTTGGGATATTGGCAGTTTGGAGGGATATGTTGTGTATCTTCATATGTGTATGCTTCTAAACTGTTGTATTCTGAGCACCTCTGCAAAAACAGTGATAATGTGCGAGTGTGGTGAAAGTGTTGAATGATGATGAAAGTATTTTCTTTTTGGGGATTTTCTTTCTTTTTTGGGTCACCCTGCCTCGGTGGGAGACGGCCGACTTGTTGAAAAAAAAAAAAAAGAGAAACAATTAGCAGGAGATAATCTTATGACGTTGATTATTTGTGAAAAGGCTAAGCAGTTGCATGACGTTCTGGTAAAGAAATTGCTTGCAACGAGTACTGATAATTGTGAATTTAAGGCCAGCAAAGGTTGGTTTGAGAGATTTAAGAAGCATAGTGGCATACACAGTGTGATAAGGCATGGTGAGGCTGCCAGTTGTGAATTCTATTGTGGCATTGGGGAGTTCCATAGGGTTGGATGTGAGTTTTGAGGATGGAAGAGTTGGTGGAGGACCACAACGAAGAGCTAACCACTGAGAAGCTGCAAGAGCTTCAGCAGGAACAGCAAGAGATCACAGCTCAGAATCTTGCTGCAGAGGAAAAAGAGAGATGGAAGAAGGTGCCTTCTTCAGAAATTAAGGAGATTTTTGAAATGTGGGGTAGGATGGAAAGATTTTGGAGAAAAAATCCCGAATGGGGGGTATTCCCCTTCCAAATACAGATCCATTCCACCCCCCAGTTTCCATGACACAAGAAGAATCGCCAATTAAGTAAGTTTTTAAGTAGCATACACTCTCGACACTTTTTGCCGATTCAGTGACCCAAGCTGGCTGTGTCCGTAAAAAGAGAAAACCCAACGACTTTCCTGAGGTGTTGAGAAGGGTTCCTTTACCAATACAGTTAAAATCCAACTTCACTCCCCATTTTCCTTCAAGTCCCCAGTAGTGTTAATTGTTTTTCATTCATCATGTCCCATTGTATTGTTTATGTACTACATCTATATTTCATGTAATAAATTTTTTTGTTTTAATACTTCTGGGTGTCAGGAAAGGATTAATTGTATTTACATTACTTCTTGTGGGAAAATTGATTCGAAAATCATCTATTTCGGTAATCGTCGCACTTCCAGGAAAGGATTAATGACGATAAACGTGGGACCACTGTACTAAGTAGAAATAGGTATGGCATGCTTAAAGTGGGGGTGACCCCCCCATTGTTCCCCATTGTTCAATAACGTAAATCACTCTACAGCATAAAATTAATTATGGAAACCAATGTACACAATTTCTGGAAAAAAAAAAAAAACAGGTATCTATTCATGTTCATTTATACTGCATTTGCATCTATATTAACATATTCTTAAGGTTCCATAGATTTTTTAAATTTGAACTCTAACTGGGTTAAAAACGATTGTTCTTTTAGCCATACATGTTGTATAAATACAACCAAAGAAATAAAAAAATATGCAGTGTTCTGGCCATCAACTATAGTAGAGAGCTACTTCCTCACCTTACCACTAGCTGGGCACCCATCTCTTCTCACAGTCTCAATACCTTTAGCATCAAACACAGGTACCTCTTGATCAGGAGTTTCATACATGTACCCAACATAGCGTTTCTTTGTCTGGGTGAGACAGAAGGAAAGTATAAGGAACTGCTCAAAAATGTTTAGTTGAGAAAACTTGCATTAGGTACTGTACATATATTTTTGAGATCTCTTATTTGTCATTAAAGGAGTAAAGCTATACTTATGGTGCACAACAAATTTTTCATGGACACAATGTTTCCAGTATAGTTTTAGCACATTACCTTACCTTGAAAGCTATTCCAGCTACTATTATTGATGAAGAAAAGCTCTACTTCCTACAACCTACTGATCATTTCACCAACCAGGCTATTGCTGCCAGTAGCCCAGAGGCTTACATAGCCAACACACCCTCCAGAAACTGAGACATAACAGTTCAAATGACCTTCCAAACTGCAGCATCTCCAGCCCTCCTTTTGAGTGCAGGCACTGTACTTCCCATCATCAGGACTCAAGTCCAGCTAACTAGTTTCTATGAATCCTTTTATAAATGTTACACAGCTCACACTCCAACAACACAACAAGCCAAACCAAAAACCCCTAATCTCCAGTCATTCTGAACTGACACTCACACAAGCTTGATAGATCCTCAAGCTCCTAACACTCAAAACCTCCTTTATTCCCTCCCTTTAACCCTTCCTGGGACAAATAACACCTCTCCTTTCTTCCACTGCTGATTTATACACTCTGCTGGTCGTCCTACTCTGCTTCATCCTCTCTCAGTACCAAGATCACTTCAATCCCTCCACTGCTCTGAATTATACCTTTGGTAACCACACACCATCTCACATTATTATTAAAATTTCAATACAATACCATTATATTTATTCTATATACACCAACCTGTAGAATGCAAGGTAAATAAACTTTCTCAAACTTCAGTTTGATAGGTTTAGGATACATCTGGGTTACTTGGTTGGCAATTTCGTACCCTATTGTAAATGCTTGGTTCTTTGTTCTTCCAGGCAAATGCACAAAGAGTGAGTCTGTATCCCCGTACACTACTTTAGCATGCCACGAGGGATGAGAATTTACAAGCTGGATACATCGTTCCAGAGTTTCTCGTCCTTTGCTGACAACGCTGTCTCCAATCTGTAAAAAGCTCACATGCTCATTTATGATCATGACAAATATATAACATAGATAACAATTATAATCTATTCATCACCCAGGAACTGACTACGAAAATTTGACCACTGTGTCTGTGTAAGACTATGCACGTTTTCAATATTAGGTAATTTCAGGTTGGAGAATGGAGGGAGGGGCTTTGCCTTCCAGCAACCGTGCATGAGCGTGTTAGAGATGAATGGTTTTTGAGACCTGACAAGCTGTTGGAGTGTGAACAGGGTAATATTTAGTGAAGGGATTCAGGGAAACCGGTTATTTTTATATAGCAAGACTTGAGTACTGGAAATGGGAAGTACAATGCCTGCACTTTAACCCCTTCAGGGTCCAGAGGCCAAATTTCAAAGTGTACACAAGGGTCCAAAAATTTTCAAAAAATAATTTTGTTATTTTTTTCTTAAGAAATGGTAGAGAATCTTTTTCTGAAGATAATAAAACAAAAAATACGAAATTTGATGGAAAATTGACAAAATTATGCTCTCGCGAATTTTGATGTGTCGTTGATATTTACGCATCGGCGATTTTGCCGACTTTGACTCCCATTTTAGGGCAATTACAGTATTCCAGTCAACCAAATTCTTAGCTATATCACTAGTAATACTTCTATTCTATCAATTGAGCACAAGAAATCACCAAGTCAACTGTTTCAACAACAAAATAAAGTGACCGGAAATTGGTAATTTGGCCAATTTAATGCAAAGTTCAAAATATTCCAATTTCAAAATATGGTCCAGGATAAACAATGCAGGCATTTCTGACACTAAACTAACATTTCCTCTGTTCATTAGTTACGTTTTCAGGCTTTACAAATGAATTCCATTTTGATTTTTTATTCACATAATGAAATTTTATTCAAACCAAAAAATAGAAGATTTACTGTTATGCAATACTGTAATAATTGTATAAATAATATCACCACATTTGTGAATGATTATTAGACTCACCAGCTGTCATGTATTAGACTTGTGAGGTCATTTGTTTAATCTTGAACAGCGGCAAAAATTTAACATTTCTGCTACTTCGAGATCAGCTTCAAGCCATTTCCAGTGCTTAAACCAATCAAAATCATCTTTATTTCTGTAGTAAAGATGTAAAGAGAGTAGTAAGGGAGAAAAAGTTAGCATATGAGAAGTTTTTACAAAGTAGAAGTGATGCAAGGAGGGAAGAGTATATGGAGAAAAAGAGAGAGGTTAAGAGAGTGGTGAAGCAATGTAAAAAGAGAGCAAATGAGAGAGTGAGTGAGATGTTATCAACAAATTTTGTTGAAAATAAGAAAAAGTTTTGGAGTGAGATTAACAAGTTAAGGAAGCCTAGAGAACAAATGGATTTGTCAGTTAAAAATAGGAGAGGAGAGTTATTAAATGGAGAGTTAGAGGTATTGGGAAGATGGAGGGAATATTTTCAGGAATTGTTAAATGTTGATGAAGATAGGGAAGCTAAGTAAGTAAGTAAGTTTATTCAGGTATACACAAATACAGTTACATAGAATTATCATACATAGCAGCATATGTGTAGAGAACCTAGGATAACCCAAAAAAGTCAGACAGAGTGACTTATTTCCATTGGGGTCCTTTTACCTTATTATTATAATATAAAGGTTATAATATTTTCTTATTATTCTACAATGAAGATAACATCTTATTATCATACTAAAAAGACTATCTACTACACGAGGGTCATTAAGACTATCTACAATACGAGGGTCATTACTAGGAATAAGGTAAAATTTACACGTGTTAGCTAAAAAATAGAGAATCATTCCCCTCCCTTTCTGTAGCTACATTCATCAGACACCTTTTGTCACTCTTCTTGAACTGGTTCATGCTATGACTGGCTTTGACATGTGCGGGTAGTCTGTTCCATTCCTTTATTGCTGTACAATAAAAGGTGTTTGAAGCCTGGCCAATGACTGTGGGTACTACAAAGTTGTGCTCTCTCCCCCTAGTACTATGATTGCTTTGGTTCCCAACCTTGACAAAATTGACAGCAAGATATTCTGGACACTGTTTGTGAGCAATTTTATAAACATGATTTAGCTTCAGTTGTTTTACTCTGTCTTCAACATTCAGCATATCCAACTGCTGTAATTCATCCTGGCCTACATGTTCTCTTGGTCCCAGCCCCAGGATGAATCTTACGATTTTGTTCTGGGTGATTTGCAGTCTATCTTTCAGTTTTTTTTGTCAAGGCAGAGTACCATGAAAAGCAAGCGTAATCCATATGGCATTGTATAAGGGCTAGACATAGGGTCCTGCGAGCCTCAGTAGGTAGACACTGTGCTTGTCTATACAGGAACTTCAGTCTGGCATTTGCTTTCTTTACTACACTGTTCCCTATCAATTCTCCTGACATGCATGGGTCAAAGGGGATTCCCAGATATTTTACTGATGAAACCAAAGTGATGGGCTCCCCATTACACTGAACATTAAAATTATTTACCCTTCTCAGTTTATGTTTCGTGCCAAGAGAATGGCTTCAGTTTTCCCTAGGTGTAATGATAGTTTGTTGTCTACTAACCATTGCTGCAGGACTCCAGTTCCAGTGTTAAAACATTAGCAATATTTTGTGGGTCTTTACCTGTCACTAACAGAGCACTGTCATCTGCATACAGTAGGAGTTTGCACTTGACACTGATAGGCATATCATTGACATAACATAAAATAATAAGGGACCCAGGATACTACCTTGGGGAACTCCACGTGTTATCGGCAGGGGTTCTGATTCCGTTTTGTTGATTTTGACAATTTGTCTCCTGTGATTTCGTGTATAGGGCAAGGAGGAATAACATCTTGTAGGAGTGAGGAAGAGCCAGTTGTGAGTGTGGGGGAAGTTCGTGAGGCAGTAGGTAAAATGAAAAGGGGTAAGGCAGCCGGGGTTGATGGGATAAAGACAGAAATGTTAAAAGTAGGTGGGGATATAGTTTTGGAGTGGTTGGTGCAATTATTTAATAAATGTATGGAAGAGGGTAAGGTACCTAGGGATTGGCAGAGAGCATGCATAGTTCCTTTGTATAAAGGCAAAGGGGATAAAAGAGAGTGCAAAAATTATAGGGGATAAGTCTGTTGAGTATACCTGGTAAAGTTGTATGGTAGAGTTATTATTGAAAGAATTAAGAGTAAGACGGAGAATAGGATAGCAGATGAACAAGGAGGCTTTAGGAAAGGTAGGGGTGTGTGGACGCAGGTGTTTACAGTGAAACATATAAGTGAACAGTATTTAGATAAGCTAAAGAGGTCTTTGTGGCATTTATGGATTTGGAAAAGGCGTATGACAGGGTGATAGGGGGCAAAATGGCAGATGTTGCAGGTGTATGGTGTAGGAGGTAGGTTACTGAAAGCATGAAGAGTTTTATGAGGATAGTGAGGCTCAAGTTAGAGTATGTAGGAAAGAGGGAAATTATTTCCCAGTAAAAGTAGGCCTTAGACAAGATGTGTGATGTCACTGTGGTTGTTTAATATATTTATAGATGGGGTTGTAAGAGAAGTAAATGCGAGGTCTTGGCAAGAAGTGTGGAGTTAAAAGATAAAGAATCACACAAAGTGGGAGTTGTCACAGTTCCTTTGCGATACACTGGCTTTTGGGAAAATTTCGAAGAAATTTGCAGAGTTTGGGGTGGATAATTTGGGGGGTGTGCAAAAGAAAAAAATTTTAAAATGAATACGGAAAGAGTAAGGTTATGGGGATAACAAAAAGTTTAGGGTGAAAGATTGGATACAGATTGGAGGGAGAGAGTATGGAGGGGGGGAAAAGTATTCAATTTTGGGGGAGGGATGTCAGGGGGGGTCTATGAAAGATAGGTGAATCTTTGAATTGATGAGGGGAAGGTGATGGTGATTTAAGGAGTCTGTGGAGACAAAGAATTTTGTCTGGAGCAAAGAGGGGAATGTATGAAGTATTTTTTAAACCAACGCCTTATAGGGTTGAAGCCGGGGTGATGAATTTTGCAGCGAGGAGAACTGGGGCTGGAGATGTCATGTCGAGGGAAATGTGTGGTTTTGAATATAATGCAGAGAATTTCGTATTTTGGGAATTTAGGAGGAGTGGGGGATTCCCAAAACGTTGCCCCGGGGGCTGAGAAGGGTTGTTGAGGGGTTCGGACATGTAAGGAAGGGCGAAACAGATGCTTCAAGTTTGATCAGTTTTTAGCGGAAGGAAGGCGGGGTGGGGTGGGCCTGGGAAAAGGTTTGGAGGGGGGGTAAAGGATTTTTTGTGTGTGGGGGTTTGGGACTTCCAGCAGGCATGCTGAGCTGTTTGTGGAGGAATGGAGAAAAAGGGTTTTTAAAACTTGACTGCTTTTTGGATGTGAGCAAAGTAACATTTATAAAGGGTTCAGGAAACCGCGGGCCGGACTTGAGTCCTGGATTTGGGGAAGTACAGTGCCGCACCTGAAGGGGGGGGTTTTAAAGTTGCAGTTTAAAAACGAGTTAAAGCCCCCCTTCGGCAAGACAGTGATGGAGGAAGATGGTGAAAGTTTTTTTTTTTTTTTGGGGCCACCCTCCTTGGTGGGAATCGCCTAGATAAAAAAAAAAAAAAAAATTTCCTTTCTATCAAATGGCCCCAAGAAATTCGGGTCCTCCCGTAGATCTAGGGCTGGACCCTAAAAGGGTTTAAAAAGGGGGGTTTTTGGGATTTTGGCAGTTTGAAGGGATATATTACACGCTATATTTTTATTATCTTTAGAATGTGGGGCAAATTTTTGTGGTTTATGGGAGGGGGGGGGGCAGGAGGAAAGAGGAGTGATTGGTGGGAAAGATGAAGTAAAGGGTGTGATAAAAAAGAAAAAAGGGACTTTCGGGGGGTTTTTACAAAGCAGAAGTGCTATAAGAAGAGCAGAGATATGGAGATAAAGAAAGGAAAGAGATGGGAGAGAGTGAAAAGGGGAAACAGATGAAGAGTGGGGGAGGCCCTGTCAAGAAAATTTTAATGAAAATAAGAAAAAATTTTTTGGGGTGGTTAAACAAGTTAAAAAACCTAGGGAAAATATGGTTTTCAGTTAAAAACAGAGTAGGGGGGTTAGTGATGGGGGAAAGGGGGGTATTAGGTAGATGGCGAAATATTTTGAGGAAATTTTAAAAGTTAAAGGGAAAAAGGGAGGCGTTTAATTTTTTGCACTGCCAGGGAGGTATACCATCTTTTTTGGAGTGAAGAAGGCAACTGTAATGTGGTGGAGGTCGTAGGATTTCGTAAAATGAAAGGGGGTAAAGCACTGGAACTGTGGGGTCATGCAAAATTTAAAAGCAGGGGGGGGTTAGTGTTGGGGTGGTTTGGGACTTTTTTTTAATAAAGTTTGAAAAGGGGAAGGGACCGGATTGGGGAGAGCAGTATAGTCCCTTTTTATAAAGGAAAGGGGGCAAAAGAGATTGTAAAAATTTTAAAAGGGAAAAAGTTTTCGAGTATACCAGGAAAATATACGGTAGGGGGTTTTTAAATGGGAAAAAATAGAGGTAAGACGAAGTAGAATTGCCCGACGAAAAAGGGGGTTTTTGATGGGTAGGGAGTGAATCAAGTGTTTACATTGGGAAACATAATGTAACAGTAATTTTGAAAAGGTAGGGGAATTTTTATTGCATTTTTGGGTTTAGAAAAACATATGATGAGGGATGAGGACAATGTGGCAGATGTTGCAAGTAATGGGAAAAGGGGGGTAAGTTTTAAATGCGTAAAAAAGCTTTTTGAGGTAGTGAGGCCAGGTTTTGGGTGGTGAAAAGAGGGAGAAAAACTTCCCGGTAAAAGTAGGTCTTAGACAGGATGTGTAATGTCCCATGGTTTTTTAATATATTTATAGATGGGTTGAAAAGAAGTAAAACTAGGGGGTTCGGGAGAGGGGTGGGATTAAATTAGGGGGGAATCAAATTCAAAAGGAATTCACAGTTATTTTTTTCTATGATACGTGCTTTGGGGGATTCTAAAAAAAATTTCAAAGGTTTTGGAGATTTGAAATTTTAAAAGGTAGAAAGTTTTAAATGAACATAGAAAAGATAAGGGATGAGGGGATCAAATGATTTTAAAAAAAAAAAAATTGGATACAAATTTTGGGGGGAGGAGAAGGGAAAAAGTGAAGTTTTCAGATACTTGGGGGTTGACGTGTCGGGGGATGGTTTTTTAAAGGAGAGGTTAAACATAGAATTGATGAGGGAAAAAAAAATGAGTGGTGCGTTGGGTATAGTGGGGTCAAAAAAAAGTTTTCTATGGGGGCAAAGAGGGAATGTATGAAAGTATATAGTACCCAAAACCTTATATGGATTAAGCTTTGGGGGGGGAAATGCAGCGCGAGGAGACGGGTTGGGGGCATGGGGATTCCTTCTAAGGGAAAGGGGTTAATATTATGCAAAAAATTCGATGTGGAAATTAGGGGAAGGTGTGGGGTTAATAAAAGCATTAGTCAAGGGGAGAAAAAGGGGGTTTTTTGAGGGTTTTGGGCATTTTGAGGAATGGAAACAAAATGAATGACATGGGAAACATAAAACTATAGGGGGGGAAAGAGGGGTAGGGGCTCCCCGAAAGGGGGGAAAGAGGGGTAAAGAGTTTTTTGTGAGGGGCTTGGACTTCCCGCAAGCGTGCATGAGCGTGTTAGATAGGAGTGAATGGAGACGAATGTACTTGGGCCCTGACGATCTGTTGGAGTGTGAGCAGGGTTAATATTTAGTGAAGGGATTCAGGAAACCGGTTATTTTCATATAGTCGGACTTGAGCCCCTGGGAAATGGGAAGTACAATCCTGCACTTTAAAGGGAGGGGGTTTGGGATATTGGCATTTTGGAGGATATGTTGTGTATCTCTATACGTATATGCTTCTAAACTGTTATATTCTGAGCACCTCTGCAAAAGCAGTGATAATGTGTGAGTGTGGTGAAAGTGTTGAATGATGATGAAAGTATTTTCTTTTTGGGGATTTTCTTTCTTTTTTTGGGTCACCCTGCCTCGGTGGGAGACGACCGACTTGTTGAAAAAAAAAAAAAAAAAAAAAAAAAGTATATCTTTATCGTATATGCTTCTAAACTGTTGTATTTGGGCCCCTCTGAAAAGACAGTCATTATGTTTGAGTGAGGTGAAAGTGTTGAATGATGATGAAAGTATTTTCTTTTTGGGGATTTTCTTTCTTTTTGGGTCATTCTGCCTCGGTGAGAGATGGCCGACTTGTTGGGGGTAAAAAAAAGTTCATTTAGGCACATAAGGAAAATCATCATATATAGTGTAAATTATCTAAAATAACCCCAAAAAATCAGACAAGAGTGACTTATTGATATGACAACACTGCAAGTATTGACTGGCATGCAAGAACCAACTAAATTAATAAAAAAACACAGATCTGAGAGTCGTATGAGACACATGTACAGACCAATGAGAGGTGGGACGGGGAAGGCAGGGCAGGAAGCTAGGTTCCCCCTCACAAAAACAATGGACTGACCCACAGGCAAGCTTCCCATGAGCCCACTAGACAGAATGGGAAATCCAGCAGATCAGATCACGGCACTGCAATTCTTTTTTTCCCAGAGTGGCACTATGTTAGTCAAATTTTACGGAATGTTAGTCGAAAATATGCTGCAATTTTGCAATGGTGTAATGGAGAAAATGTGGTAAAGGAACACTTGCTAATCAACGGTCTACTGTACATAATTATAGCCAAGGGACCCAGTAACACCAAATGTTTACCATTCTTTTGCCGGTTTCAAATAGCCTTGTTCGTTGTACCAAACCAAAATAATTTTCAGAGGGATGCAAAGTGTTAAAAATTGCATTAGAATAAAGAATAAAAGGAAAAAGTATTAGATACTTAACAGCTATTTTTCTGGTGGGTTGATGGTTGTGAGAAGGCAGGTGCAGTCACCAAAAATCTTGCACTACCCATTTTGACACTATATACTAACATTCAAAATTGCCTAAAGCTAATATTCTTACCTCAGAACAAGGCATTCGACCAGAGAAATTTGCACTAGTATATCCGTAAGTGACATTGGCAATGAGTTTTAATCCCAACTGACGAGAATGTAAAACACGCTGCAACGCGGTGTCATCTTTGTATTCTTTCATCATGCGCTTTACCTGGAAGAGAGAAAACATTTTTTTTTTTTAACAAGTCGGCTGTCTCCCACCAAGGCAGGGTGACCCAAAAAGAAAATACTTTCATCATTCAACACTTTCACCTCACTCTCACATAATCAGTTTTTGCAGAGGTGCTCAGAATACAACAGTTTAGAAGCATATACGTATAAAGATACACGACATATCCCTCCAAACTGCCAATATCCCGAACCCCTCCTTTAGAGTGCTGGCATTGTACTTCCTATTTCCAGGACTCAAGTCCGGCTATATAAAAATAACTGATTTCCCTGAATCCCTTCACTAAATATTACCCTGCTCACACTCCAACAGATCGTCAGGTCCCAAATACCATTCGTCTCCATTCACTCCTATCGAAAACGCTCACGCACCCTTGCTGGAAGTCAAGGCCCCTTGCCCACAAAACCTCCCTTACCCCTTCCTTCCAACCTTTTTGAGGACAACCCCTATCCCGCCTTCCTTCCCCTACAGATTTATACGCTCTCCATGTCATTCTACTTTGATCCATTCTCTCTAAATGACCAAACCACCTCAACAACCCCTCTTCAGCCCTCTGACTAATACTTTTATTAACTCCACACCTTCTCCTAATTTCCACACTCCGAATTTTCTGCATAATATTTACACCATACATTGCCCTTAGACAGGACATCTCCACTGCCTTCAACCGCCTCCTCGCAGCTGCATTCACAACCCAAGCTTCACACCCATATAAGAGTGTTGGTACTACTATACTTTCATACATTCCCTTCTTTGCCTCCAAAGATAGCGTTTTTTGTCTCCACATATACCTTAATGCACCACTCACCTTTTTCCCTCATCAATTCTATGATCAACTTCATCCTTCATACATCCATCCGCCGACACATCAACTCCCAAGTATCTGAAAACATTCACTTCTTCCATACTACTACTCCCCAATTTGATATCTAATTTTTCTTTATCTAAATCACTTGATACCCTCATCACTTAACTCTTTTCTATGTTCACTTTCAGCTTTCTACCTTTACACACACTCCTAAACTCGTCCACTAACCTTTGCAATTTTTCTTTAGAATCTCCCATAAGCACAGTATCATCAGCATAAAGCAACTGTGTCAATTCCCATTTTGTATCTGATTCCCCATAATTTAATCCCACCCCTCTCCCGAACACCCTAGCATTTACTTCTTTTACAACCCCATCTATAAATATATTAAACCACCAAGGTGACATTACGCATCCCTGTCTAAGACCTACTTTTACTGGGAAGTAATCTCCCTCTCTTCTACACACCCTAACCTGAGTCTCACTATCCTCATGAAAACTCTTTACAGCATTTATTAACTTACCACCTATTCCATATACTTGCAACATATGTCACATTGCTCCTCTATCCACTCTATCATATGCCTTTTCTCAATTCATAAATGCAATAAAAACTTCCCTATCTTTATCTAAATACTGTTCACATATACTCTTCAATGTAAACACTTGATCTACACATCCCCTACCCACTCTGAAACCTTCGTGTTCATCCGCAATCCTACATTCTGTCTTACCTCTAATTCTTTCAATTATAACCCTACCGTACACTTTTCCTGGCATACTCAGTAAACTTATTCCTCTATAATTTTTACAATCTCTTTTGTCCCCTTTCCCTTTATATAAAGGGACTATACATGCTCTCCGTCAATCCCTAGGTACCTTCCCCTCTTTCATACATTTATTAAACAAAAATACCAACCACTCCAACACTATATCCTTTCCTGCTTTTAACATTTCTGTTATGATCCCATCAGTTCCAGCTGCTTTACCCCTTTCATTCTACATAATACCTCACGACCTCCCCCAACTTTCAATTTTGCTTCTTCACTCCTAAAAGATGGTATACCCCCCTTTCCAATGCATGAAATTACTGGGGGTCTGTTTCTTCCTTAACATTTAAAAGTTCCCCAAAAAATTCTCGCCATCCCACCCCTACCTCCCCCCCCCCCATTACTAACTCCCCCACTTGTTTTTAACTGACAAATCCAAAATTTTTTTCCCCAGGCTTTCTTAACTTGGTTTTTAACCCCACTCCCAAAAATTTTTTTTTATTTTCTTAAAAATTTCAGGAAAAATCCTCCCCTCCCACTCTACAAACTTCTCTCCTTTTGATTTTCCCTTTTCCCCACTCTTTTACCCTTTTTTTTATCTCCATGTTTCTCTGACCCTTCCCTTTTAACACTTCTTTCTCTGTAAAAACCTCTCATAAGCTACCTTTTTCTCTTTTATCACACCCCTTTCTTCATCATCCCCAAACACTCCCCTTTTCCCCCTGCCCCACCCCCTATAAACCCCAAACTTTTTGCCCCACATTCTAATAAGCCTTTTTAAAACTATTTCCCAAACCCCATTCAACCCCCCCTACTCATCTTTGCACTACCCACCTTTCCCGCCAATAGTTTCCCCTTTTTTTCACCCCAAATTTTTTCCCCCTTAGTTTATTTCACTTTTCACCTCCCTCTTACTTGTTGTTGCCCCCCTTTTCCCCTTTTCCCCTATACCTTTACCTAACTGTACTACAACTTTAAAAATGATCCGATATATCGTTGCCCCCCTATAAACATGTAAAAATTTCCCGGGTTCCCCCCCATCCCCAAACCCTTTTTTTTCCACCAAATACATAATCAATAAACAAAATTTTATTTCAGGGTTTCATCATTCCTTGAAAATTTATTTATCCTCTTTTTTATAAAATATGTATTACTTATTACCAAATCTCTTTCTACACATAGCTCAATTAAAGGCTCCCCATTTACATTTACCCCTGGCACCCCAAATTTACCTACTACTCCCTCCATAACATTTTACCCACTTTAGCATTGAAAATCCCAACCACCATTACTCTCACACTTGATTCAAAACTCCCACGCATTCACTCAACATTTCCCAAAATCTCTCTCTCTCTACACTTCTCTCTTCTCCAAGTGCATACATGCTTATTATAACCACTTTTCACATCCAATCTTAATTTTACTATACATAATCCTTGAATTAATACATTTATAGTCTCTCTTTTCTGCCAATGCTTATCCTTCAACATTATTGCTACTCCTTCTTTAGCTCTAACTCTATTTGAAACCCCTGACCTAATCCTATTTATTCCTCTCCACTGAAACTCTCCCACCCCCTTCAGCTTTGTTTCACTTAAAGCCAGGACATCCAGCTTCTTCTCATTCATAACATCCACAATCATCTCTTTCTTGTCATCTGCACAACATCCACGCACATTCAGACTTCCCACTTTGACAATTTTCTTCTTATTATTCTTTTTAGTAATCTTTACAGGAAAAGGGGTTACTAGCCCATTGTTCCCGGCATTTTAGTTGACTTTTACAACACGCATGGCTTACGGAGGAAAGATTCTTATTCCACTTCCCCATGGATATAAAAGGAAAAGTAATAAGACCAAGAACTATTAAGATAAAATCAAAGAAAACTCAGATGAGTGTGTATAAATAAATGTGTACATGTATGTGTAGTGTGACCTAAGTGTAAGTAGAAGTAGCAAGACATACATATTCCTAGCACTCTACTGGTATGCAAAGACACATGAACAAATCAATTATATTCATGAGAAACACTAAACCCATTGGGGCCACACAGCATCAATAAAATAGAAAGTAATCAGATTTGATCCACAAGACAGTTGAAAAAGCATATGTACAAACTATACACAGTAATAAAAAAAAAGTGAAAGTTAACAAGTATAACAAGAGTGTCTATTATGGTACTGCACAATTTTGTGTTTGTCAAATATTGTCACTTACCATAAGTCTAGTGTTAAGAATTTCCTCTAACATGATAGGCAGAATCCCACGTCTTACACTGGAAGGGACAAAGGCAACACCACATGGGGAGACATTCACCTGAGGACATGATTTAAATAAAAAATACATTTGGGATTATGCAAGTTATATTTTATATATACACTACATTCTACATACAATTGTGACTGCCCCACTGTGTCTGACCATAGAAAGTATACTCTTCCTTGTCTTAAAACTCTGAACATAGTATAAAATCCTATAAAACAAATGATTATATTTAATATAGATTAAATACCTTAGTAATATAAGCAAAATGTTTGCACATGTCCATTTGTGTGTGTGTAAATGCACACCTAACCTATGGTAAATTATTGAAATTTGCTTCATTTAAGATAAATCAGTCAATTTTGAAGAAAATATATATACTAAAATAATGAAAAAAAGGTTTCTAGTATTTATTGAAGGTTTCTAATATTTACTGAAAACAAAAAATCATTGAAACAAGGAGCAGTACCCATGAATGTAGTCTTTTCAAATTTCTTACAGTACAATAAGCATGTGGTCCATCTGCAATGAGTAGCATTTTAAGTCTTTGAATTCTTCGAACACCTACCCACTGGTACCTTGACATACCATGTTCACCATGCAATTTAGGAGATATTATCATCCCTTTTTGTCTCTTAATATTAACCATGGCAACAAGATGAACACTAGTGATGCTCCACTCAGTTGACTGGCCAAGGTGAGTTACTGCACTGTTGCTACCATATAACAAGAACAATGGCCAAGATGAGCAGTTGTAATGTTGCTACCATATAACAACAACAATGGCCAAGATGAGCAGTTGTAATGTTGCTACCACATAACAATAACTTGCACCACTTGCAGCACTTCTGGGTGGGCTAAACTTCTTAATGCCAAAATTAAGACAAAGAAACAAATTGCAGACCAAGCTGTTTGTGGGACAACAGCTTGCTGTTCACACAATGAAACATCATCCCAATAAAATTTTGTTCTGTAACTTCTGTCTTCATACATTGAACAAATGTCATATTCTCTTGCAACCTACCTGTCTATATTATGCGTGGCCAGCAGTAACAGCCTGGTTGATCAGGCCCTGATCCACCATGAGGTCTGGTCACAGACTGGGATGCCTCTCTAGGTATACTCCAGGTACACATTAACAACAGCTTTTCTAGCAACAGCAGCAGCAATAGCAATATTGCCATTAGCATCAAAGTAACAGCAACAGCAGCATCTGCCATTAAAGTAGC